CCCCCCCCCATGCAAAATCCTGGCTACGTGCATGAGTCTACTACCTTCAATTCCTCGTGAAACAGTTTCTGCCTGACCGCTGGTGACGTCACCTTCCCCTTCACGTCCCTCACGTAGAGGAAGAGTTTCGCGTTGGCGGCGAAGACGGCCACGGTCGGGACGAGGTGGCCGACGATGATGAAGATCAGGGTGAAGACGACGTTGGTTCTGTCGTACATGCAGTTCTTTGTCTTGAGGTCGTACCGAACGCCGCCGTAGCCTGCCCACAGCGGTATCACATACAAGGCGCCGTACACCCAGACTGTGGCCACGATGAGCGCGTTGCCACGGTCGGTGAAGACTGCGTCGTGTAAAGCCCGCTTGCACACGCACATGTACCGGTTGACGCTGATGGCGGCGGCGGTGGCGAGGGAGGCGATGCAGCCGGCGACGCACAGGCTGCCCACCGCGCGGCACACGATCCCGTGCTCGATGAAAAACTGCGAATCGAGGATCCCCTTGATGTGGAACGAGTCTATGACCAGGGATACAACCAGATCCGCCACGGTCAGGCTGATGACGAAGGGGGTGGCCGTGGTGTCCCCCCGGCACACGGTGAGTAGGAGACCGAGGACCACGCTGTTGCCTACGGTACCCACCACGGCCATGACCGACAGGATGGACACTTGGAAGGCGTGCTCGTCAAACTCTTCGTTCTGTATCGTCACGTTGCTCGGGTGGTCCATTATTGTTGTTGGTTTTGTAGTTATTGTTGACACCGTGGAATTCGAGAAGTTGAAAGAGTCAATTGACATCGTTTCTTAGTCTGCAATTGTAGTAATCACTCTCAATTTCGCTCTAAGTTTCACACGTTGCTCGGGTGGTCCATTACTGTCGGTTTTGTAGTTGTTGTTGTTGACACCGTGGAATTCGAGAAGTTGAAAGAGTCTATTGACATCGTTTGTTAGTCTGCAATATAGTCTTTAATTTCGCCTGCAAGTCTCACATGTGCTCACGTTTGATACTCGTATTCCGAAGAACAGGTTTTATAACGTCTCTAATAGTATATTAACATCTGATCTGCCTCAAATAGTTTCTCTTTTTCACAGGTTGTCCCTGCCTCTTATTGGTTCACATGGTTTCTCCCTGGCAAAGAGAAATAAAAACATGATAGCAACTAACCTGCAACGTTGCTCTACGCAATACATGCGGCCAATCCGTACATTTTGTCAGAAGACCTCAGAATAATATACTGTGAATATTAAAGTGACAGCGTAACTGACACGTATCTACATGAAGGAATGTCGCCACCAAGTCTGTTCGGGTAAATTATACGTGCGTGATCTAGCATATAGGAAGGGTGTCCGATATCTAACCCGCACACCGCATTAGCGATAGACCCGCAGATAGCCCGAAATAGCATGACACTGACATACAGTAGTAAAACACTAATCTCCCAGCAGATCTGCCAGTGACGCAATCGTAGCCAGCCTGCGGGCACTGGACCTGCTCTCGGCCGGCAGTTTATGAATGCGAGCTTGTCACGGGAGGATCTGCTTGGAGATTACCACAACACGGCAACCGCCAAATGGCCGCAGTTGTACACTGGTTCAAACTAGTCGTGTATCGTGCCCATACATATCCCTTATATGCTACAACAACAATCAGTTACAGTGTTCAGGTAACAGTTAGAACTGCATAGCAAGCAGAACGCTGGTCTTACCTTGACTCCAGATGACCAACCTTGCAGGAGATTGTTGTACAAATCAAAGAGCAGCCTCTTGGAGGTTTCTGACCATGAGAACAATGAGATACAGTATATGAAGTCCAGACTACGCGGAACGAAGGAAAGTCCCGTGCAACCGTCCTGCTTCCTGTAACACACTGAGCCGGTGTGTGCTGCCTGCCGAGCATTTATAGACGTCTCGGTACAGACGTGTGTTACGTCAGGCTCATGTCACATGGTTACATGTACATAGTTACAGTTCCCTGCACACGGCGGTTTCACACTGCTGCGCCTGCGCGATCCAACCCAATATCGACCTTCTTCGCGTCTCCCCTGGCAATAGTACGATCCTGATCGAACGCATCGAACCCCCTGTTCTATTTCAACCAGGTTCGTCAAAATCAGCGCGGGAAATTAAATCTAAGAGCAGAAAAATGAGTTGATGTCTGCTTGATAAAGACTCCTTGTTTTACCGGAGAAACAGAACTTGTGGCATCGGAGGCAATTTCAAGTTAAATGCAGTGGGAAACCTGTCACTGATAAACATACTCTGCGTAACACATGCATAGTCTGTGCCCAGGGCTGTGCATTGTTTGTGCCATCGCTGTACTGATGAGGAATACTGCCTCCCGAACTAGAGAAGCACCTCATTCGTGACCCGTATTACTACATTGATTCTCACAACAACCTTATGGGCAGATAAATGGCAAAGCAGCAACTTACTTACATTACTCACATCTTTCCCGGGCAGGCCTCAGGGCTTGGCAGTTGAGAGCATCGCCTTATCACTTCCTCTTGTCTGCACTTTGTTAATGTGATCCTTCCGCACTTTCCTGGGTCTGCGTAGAAGGCGCTTGCCTTTTGGTTTGTATATTTGAAATTCTGTATCTGTATAGCCTGTATAACCGCCCCTCGGCGTAACACACCAGCTTCTGTATCTGTATAGCCGGTATAACCGCCCTTCGGCGTAACACACCAGCTTCTGTATCTGTATAGCCGGTATAACCGCCTTTCGGCGTAACACACCAGAATTAATTCTTCAAAACAGCAACGTTGGGATTATGCATGATAAATTGCATAGATTTGGATAGTCGCTTTATGCCGGGGAAAGGAGGGGTATGTTACCCATGATATATAGAGACTTCTGACGTGTATAGGGTTGCTAGCGGCAATGCTATTGTTAAAAGTACACACAACTGTATGTGAAACGCTGATTAGGAGAAACTATTTCTCGAGGATTGAAGACCGTGCGACTTTCTGTATCAGAGATTTCACTGCCTTTGTTTTCCTAACAGAGAAGATCAAACAAAACCTAACAGTGAGTTATAGCCATATTAGCGACTTAGGGAACGTCGTTGTAGGGACTTGATTTTGGTATTTTCTCTAAAAGTTCATCCTCCTTCACTATCACATACATCCGTTCATGCAGCTATCGAAGAGAAATTGTTAAATAGAAGACTTCAGAAATGAAAGCTGGCATGTGGCCTACAGAGATATGATACAGGGGATGTGATTTCAGCCTCCAACAGTATCCAAAAGTGCAACAAAGACATTACTGAGCTGCCCTCGTATTTCCCGTGGAAGAAAGACCTTTTGATAGTTGCATTAGGTGACAGAGATATACTAGCTTTATTTTATGAAGTTCACACATGATGAAGCACCAAATCGTATTACGTAGACTTAAATATATATATGGGGACTATAATGGCAGAAGTCGCTGGCTTGTAGAGACCCGCATAGATCAATCATCAGCAGTGTGAATGAGTTCATGTCAGAGTCCCACAAGTTGCCATTATCAGAATTCAACTGTGATATTCCACTGATTACTCACTTGACACAATGTTATCATTGACACCATTTCTAAGGCGTCCATTTTGTTGTGTTCTCAACTTCTCTTTCCAAAGACATTTCATCATCTCAGATCATGAGACTTACGTTTACTGAGGATTGTGCAGTGACACCGACAGGAGAAAAATCACTTATCGACTTTAGATTTGCATCACAAAGACTGTACGTGAAACTGCATAGACATCCCAGAGCTCCTCAGTTAGACCCCTGTGGGAAGAATCTTCTTTCATTAAACTTCGCAAAGGAATCTGCCTGTCTTATGAGAGCAATTCAACTAATTCCGATACATCTTGGAAGTTCGTATCTACATATTGTAAAGTTCGTTCAATGACTGCAGTAGACGCCTGGCGGATATACATGTACTTAATAATGGTTTTTATTGTCCAAACAGTACCCGTGCAGTCGCAGCCTTTAACGGCTGAATTGATCCAGGGTATCACATAATAATCAATACAAATCACAACAAACAAGTAATACGCGTATAACACATATATTTGTCGCAAGGGTCTGTGCGGCTGCCATTCGGCGCCACAAGGTGACCTCAATACGACTTTCCCCAACCAAAGTTAGGTACCCATTCACACCTGGGTGGAGTGAGGAAAGTCGTGTAAAGTGCCTTTCCCAAGGGCACAACGTCGGGGCGCATGTTCAGACATGTCCCGGGTACGACTCGGGTTCGAACCCGGGTCTCCCGGTTCACAGTCGAATGATCTACCACTACGCCACCCGACGCCACACCGCTTTGACTACTATTTTTGTATACTTGGCCGCAAGCCACATCCGACTACATGTATTTAGGTAGTCTACACCCTATCTGGTATAATTGCTTCCACGAACGCGTACATGTACCTGTGATTTGCCTTTCTGCGAATTCATAAAGCTGCAATCGAAACGTTGGACAATCTGGTGAATTGGGGGATCATACACTAATCTTCTAATTCAACCTTCAGCCAAGTGGAACAACATCATTAGAGTTAGGTAAGGAGTCTTTAACATAGACGATTAATGACAATAATTCGCTAAACGTTTAGTAGTTGTGTCTGTACTCTCCAGACAACTTCGGTCTACATCATAATTACAGGTATCTGGAGACGACTTACATTGTGGATGGGACTACGTGCGCCCCCGCTCGTGGGCACATTTGTACACTTTGAGTAGTAATACGTTTGTTAACCTTGTTACCTTTGGAACAAAAAAAAGTATTAGGTTGTTGCCCTTGTACTTCTAAATATTGACATTTGATAGTGCTTCCTGCTTCTATTTGATACAGCTAAATTTGAGGCACATTGTACCGACTACCGACTACAGTTTTTGTAACCACTCAGTCGGGCTGTTTTTTAATTACCATTTACACAGTCTTTATCTTGTTTTTGTCGGCAGTGTTGTTGTTTTCAGAAAAGCTATGTTATTCATGTTTGACTCACCAAGCAAATCAAGTATATAATGTAGATAATTGTAACGTATACATATATGCATGCAGGTAATTTTTCTTCTAGACAAACATAACGTGAGACGAATGAAATATTGTACACAGAGGATAACCAAAGCATCTGCAATCCTGCTCTGGGTAGGGCAATTCATAATTCCTCTTCTAAGATATGCATGGTTGGGCATTGGTAACAGCCTGGGGGAACTTTATGTTGTGACTACTGTATGCCCCATGTACAGCCAGCACAGCGAATGTCCTTGTCCCTTAACTTTGTCATTATCATCATACTGAAACATCACGCCAAAAAGCAGTTACTCAAGCAACTGGATATGATTTTGAAAACGTCAGACGTTTCAGCTAGTATCCACTAGCTTTCGTCAGTGACTGAGAGACCAGAGGGGAAATGCAGGTTTATAAGCACAACCTATTGATTGATATGCAAATAAAGTGAAGACAAATTTTTGGAAGTCGAAAATAGAACAAAGCTAGTGACGAAAGCTAGTGGTTACTAGCTGAAACATCTGACGTTTTCAAAATCATATCCAGTTGCTTGAGCAACTGCTTTTTGGCGTATCGTATTACCTGGATGTCTAACCTTCATCGACGTATACTGAAACATCATTCAAACTTTCAGACAAAGTCGTCAATAACGTTTTCAAGGTCCCTCGTGATGCCTGTTCATGCGGAATCAATTTCTGTTTGTGCCTTTGGCGTGCTCCTCGTTCTGGTAATTTGTCAACGAAGTAGATGAAGCAAAATACAATCCTGGAACTGGATAGATGAGGCGGGTTGTTATACAAATGTAATTAACAGAATTTTCATTTGCGTTTGATGCCTTTGGCAGTACGAATGCCGGGCGTGTATTTCTTTCCAGCAGGGAGGGAGGGGAAACAGACTACCGGAAGGAAATCTAGATTAAACCTGAAGTATTCTATCCATCAAGCCTCATCCAGACGCCAGCCTATTCTGCCTTGAGCAGGAGATGGCATCTGCAAAAAGCCGAGTGCATATATCTACGTTTCACGTACGAAAGGAGATGCCTCGTTTGAGACGCAGACCTGAAACCAGCTCGAGCCAGAGATCTAAATGATCTCGTACACACGGAGATAGATGAGAGAACAG